GGTTGAGTTGAAGACGACGATACGTTTGCTGCACTCCACAATTTACAAAGAAAACAAATACAAGTAGGGGTCAGTACAAACACAAGTACTGAAATAGGTATCATCGGCCAACTCAAAATAGAAAACAGTATATATCAGGTAACATCATAAAATCAACTAATATCCTTAGCATGCAGCATTTACAATTACCATAACCCTTGGTTACAACACCAAGCACATCAATGAGGACTCACGCCTCCTCATCATACTCATTTGGGAATTAGGTTCATTAGATTGAGTATATTAACATCTTTCAAGATTCATTATCTTTATTCCTCTCGTGTCGGTACGTGACACTCCACTCCTCATATACTATTCGGGTGTCGGAACGTGACACTCCGATCCTCATTCTATCCTGGTGTCGGAACGTGACACCCGATCCATATTCTATTCTGGTATCAGAACGTGGCACCTGATCCATATACTATCCTGGTGTCGGAACGTGACACTCCGATCCTCATATACTATCCTGGTACCGGAACGTGGCACCCGATCCATATACTATCCTGGTGTCGGAACGTGACACTCTGATCCTCATATACTATCCTGGTACCGGAACGTGGCACCTGATCCATATACTATCCTGGTGCCGGAACGTGACACTCCGATCCTCATATACTATCCTGGTACCGGAACGTGGCACCCGATCCATATACTATCCTGGTGTCGGAACGTGACACTTCGATCCTCATATACTATCCTGGTACCGGAACGTGGCACCCGATCCATATACTATCCTGGTGTCGGAACGTGACACTCCGATCCTCATATACTATCCTGGTACCGGAACGTGGCACCCGATCCCCTAATCTCACTACTTTCGTTCATCAAGCCTTCTTTTACACTAAGGCATCATCATTAACAAAGAGGTTTTTCAAGATTTAGGATTCAATAGCCTCATCATGCTTATTTTATCACAATTACATAATCACATTCATGCAAGCATACAATTAAGCATATAGAAGGGTTTACAACACTACCCAATACATATCATTCGCTATTAAGAGTTTACTACGAATAGCATAAAAACCATAACCTACCTCCACCGAAGATTAGTGATCAAGCAAGCAAACTCCCCAAAGCTTTGTGTTTTCCTCTTCTCGTTCGATCCTCTCTCTCTCTTTGTTCTTTCTATTTTCTTTATTCAAACCCTCTTTCTTTTACCCTAATTAGCATATAATTAAGAATAAAAGATGGCAATAATAACCCACTAATTTACTCAAGGTTACCTCTTTTAACCCCCAAGTAATTAGACTTATTAACATTAACCCACTAACCTTATAATTAAAGCAGGAATAGTCAAAAACGTCCCTTAAAACATTAAAGAAATCCGACTCCGCCTGGGATTACGCAGCCTGTGACGGCCCGTCGTGCCTGGGACGGTCCGTCCTGCCTGCGATGGTCTGTCCTGCTGCTCCGTCACAGAGTTCAGAGACTCAATTCCCTTTAGGAGTCTGTGACGGTCCGTCACGCCTGTGACGGTCTGTCCTGCCATTCCGTTACGAAGTTCAAAGAGTCGATTTCAATACCCATTTTTCAGAATTTCTAAGTGTTTTGAAACGAGACCCCCTCGACGGTCCGTCGTGCCCATGACGGTCCGTCGTGGGATCCGTCGTCTCAGCCAGTTTTCCAGAAATAACATCTGTTGCTCAAAACGACTAAACAGGGTCGTTACAAAAACACCCCATTCCTTTTCAATGTCAGTGTTCTACGGTAACTTAGGAATACGAGGGTGAGTTCTAGCATGCAATAAGGGTCCAAAATTGGAGACCCACATAGTAAGACAAAAAGTTTAATCAAAAAACAAAAAATTAACGATAGTTAATTCACGGATCAGAAGAACATACCTGATAACTGGAGTAGAGGAAGAAGAAGTAAGACACTAGTAGTTGAACAGCAGCACAAACACCATAAACACCGACCGACAATGGGCTGAAGAAACTGGGAGAATTGGGAGAGAAAGGACTATGGGAATTTGGGGAAAATGTGGGAAATCATGAGATGGAGAGGGAATGGGAGTTAATGGTGATGAAGTGGGAGAAATGGTAGGAAATGAGGAGAGAAACGGTTATGAGGGGTTAATAAGTCTCATGGATCTACGAAGCGTACTCTCATGTACATTCAATTTTATAGTGTTATTACTAATTAAATTCTATTCAATGATTTTACATATAATTTTTTTAATTAAAAATCTATAATATATAGATATTATATTATGATTTTTATTTGCGATAAGTATTGATAATTTATAATAAAGAAAAAAAAATCATAATTACTATTTGAGAAATACCATTACACCAATAACAATAAAACATGACTATACAAGTATAAAATAATCTAATATCTTAACTTTCTAATATATATATATATATATATATATATATATATATATATATATCGTACTATACAATAATATATAATTACCTTCATAGTGTTACCAAATAGTAAATATGTGATACTACATTTGTTGTTTAGGTTACTCACAATCTTGTTATCTTTATAGATTAATAAGTTGTGTATCATTCATTTGTTCAAGAATTATGAGGGTCAACAATGTTAATTAAAGATTTTAACACATAATTTGTGTAAAATATGTTAGGCGAGTTTCGAGCGTTGGGTGTTGGACGTACAGTCGGGCGCACTTAGGATGTACAGTGAGGCGCTTAGGACGTAAGTCTTGTAGAACTAAGTCCCAAACTTGAGTCTCGAGGCATTTTGATAGAGCCCCGTCCAGGGCGAGTCCCAAAAGAGTCTTTTAAAACACCGAGCAACATGATGATACAACATCTCGCCCATATTGTCAATACTATCTTATACCTTACCAGAGTATAGCTATCATCAACTAAGTGGATCCACTTAGATATGTTTAAAAGCAATAAGGTAATCATCTAAAAATTATTACTTTTTACCCGTGTTGGCGCACTTGATTTATGAGGACTTTGAGTTATCTGATTTTATTCTCATATCGTCGCTCAATACTACTCCCAATAATATAACTTATGATCATATTCTTTAAAACATTTCCTCATCCTCAAACATTGAGTTTATTACTCAAAAGATTCTCTTAAAAGAGATAATGCGCCAAACTCCTTATGAAATCATTTGGAGATCAAGGTTTTCTCTCATTTTAAATGTAAAAGCATTTACACTTGGGGAATACTTGTCGCACCCTATTTTCGATCCGACAGAAAACAGTTCACAACATAATATGGCTAACACTCTGATTTTTGGAAAAATTAATTTATTTTTATTTTAGAGTCGCCACCTAATTTTAAGGAAAATATTAGGAAACCCATTTTTTATGTAAATGTAAACTCTGTTTTTTATTTAAGAAACCAGTGAAATTCTAAGTAAGGGTTTTGGTTAATCGAGGGTAAGGTGTTAAGCACCCTTCAGACCCTATTCAAAAATCGTCCTTAAACTCAATTTAGGAAAATATAATTAGGAAAACGTATTTATTTTACTGCTTTAAAATCAATGGTGAGTAAATTTTATTAGTTTTGAGAAAAAAGAGTAAAACACAAGGCATGACATACATATGTCTAATAAATTAAATTATAACAGTATGTTTATTATACGGTAAGAAAAATAACTAAATGCGCTAAAAGTGTATGACAAGCTTGTGCTAAAGGAGTAGAGATGTGTCATATACAAATATATCCAAAATAAATGTTGAGAATATAAAATTTGTTATTTTAGTTATATATAGATTTAAGACGTAAAAGAAAATAAATAAAATTGGGTGTAAATATGTAGTAAATAAAATAATGTGTATATTAAAATGTAGAGATTTAAAAAATTATAAAGAAAATAAGTAACATTTGTAAAAGTGATACTAGATATAAAAAATATATATGAAGTGCAACAAAATAATAAGTTACGTATTAAGAAATATAGAATTTGTACCTTTATGCATATATATATATATATATATATATATATATATATATATATATATATACCGTGTATTTTGAACCTGTTGGCATATCTAAAATCTTAAAATAATATATTAAGAAATTAAATAGTATTTGTAATATTTGATTTGAAAAGTGATAGTAGTAAATATATTGTCTAAAAGGGAGAAAAAATGTAAAATAGGTCTCGCTATATCTACCAACTTACATTTTCATTTTTTATAAGTTCTAAAATTATGTAATATTGTCTTCAAGGTATTTATTTTTAATTCATGATTTATTATACTTCGAAGCCCCCTAAACGTGATGCTTTCATTTCAAAACATTGCAACCTTTAAAACTAAAAATCTGCGATATATGAGCAAAAGATTGCATCTTTAATTTCAAAATCTGCACTTTTGTGCTCAAGTCTGGCACATTTTGAGCTAAAATTTGGCACTCTTTTGGGCTAAAAAATGGTGTACTTTTGATGCTCAAAAACATTGCACTCTTTAAGCATAAAACACTGCATTTTTCCAAGTTAAAATTTGCACTTTTTACACTGAAATCTGTATTTTTTCAACCTGAAATCTGCACTTTCCAAACCTGAAAATCTTCATTTTTAAGTTAACAAAAAAAATTTGCTTACTAAAGCATGCTGAAAGTGCTTTTTCGCGCTAAAGTATGCATTTCTAAAGCTAAAAATCTGCACTTTTAAACCTTTAGTATCTACATTCCAGAGTCCTATTTTTTTAGTAAAGAAAGCTACAAATGTCGTTTGTACTTGAAAGTTGAAAACAAATGATAGTCGTAACATTCTATGGCTTGACCAAATGATCACCACAAGTGCGGCATTTATCTGTTTAAATCTTTTGAAAATAATTATAAGCTTTTGTTCATTTTTTACCTACAAAATTAAGTGGCGACTCTGTTAATTTAGAAAATCAATTTCTCTTAAATCATAAGATAAATTGATTTTTTAAAACTTAGTCATTTTTTCTTTTACTTTATATATTTTTGTAAAACAATATAAACATGTTATATTACGTTCAACAAATTGAAAATGAATTTGGTGAGTGAAAAACTTACTTTAACCCCCAAGAATGGTGAAAAAATGTTAGGAGTCGCTTAGGTTTCATTCCTTAGATAAAAAATTACATAATATGGTCGTTCAAGGATTTATTAATGACTTTAATTCGCGTCATGCCTATCACAGCAGCCATAATCCCGTGACAGCGATGACGACAGAGCAACAAAAACGCCTGCCAAAGTGGACAAAAGAAAACAGAGAGCTCACTAAAGAATTTAAAATTCCTCATTTCACAACACACCTCTAACCCACTACACTAAAAGATACCCTTTACGCTAGGAATGATTCCGAGAGTTCTACTCACCCAAATTCAAATTCCATAAAGTCGTATGAATTCCTTATCGAGTTATGTAACTTCAAATGAAATTAACCATAAATGGTTCACCCAATTATTACCACATTTCCCTATACCTTAGTGACTCTTATTTCGTCCAAATATGGACTAGGATGAGAAAATTTCAAATACTATAGAAAAAAATTTTGCGCTAATTTTTCTCTGTTGACTTTACTATAACAATGAAAATAAATTTCAATTATGACCTTAGATAATTGTTTCTCAAAACAATATGAAAGTCCTTCTCTCTGGAAATATCCTTAGCAATCAAGTTAGTAAAATCAATTATTTTCAGATTTCTAGAACTCAATATATCACCTTTAGAGCCCCCACACAAAAGGCTGCAGAACTAAGTCTTGGATTTCCATTTCCATAAATTTTAGGGTATTGGAGTGAATAAGTTTTCTATATTCATCTTGACCTTGATTTACTATTTTTTTAATTTGTTTTCGTTGGATTGAGACCAACTTGTCTTGGTGCAACAAACAAGTGTCATCATGCCCGTTTTTAGATCGCGACACAATCAAGAGCTAAGGTATAGAAATTAGTTATAGCTGAAGTATTTACTATATTTGGAGGTAGAGAAATCAAAATATATTTTCAAGAGATAACCAAAGTTACCACACTACTAATAAGACAGATTGTCCGAGAGGTGCATCTTAAGTGTCACACTCCGAGCCTACACTTTGGACGTGACTGACATTCGAGAACCGTATTTATTTATCTACTCTAAAATCAATGGTGAGTAAATTATATTCATTTTGAGAAAAAAGAGTAAAACATAAGGAACGACATACATATGTCTAATAAATAAAATTATAATAGTATGTTTATTATACGGTAAGAAAAATAAATAAATGCGCTAAAAGTGTTAACAAGTTTGTGCTAAAAGAGTAGAGATGTGTCTTATACAAATATATCCAAAATAAATGTTGAGAATATAAAATTTGTTATTTTTAATTATATATAGATTTAAGATGTAAAAGAAAATAAATAAAATGGGGTTTAATAAATAAAATAATGTGTATATTAAAATGTAGAGATTTTAAAAAATATAAAGAAAATAAGTAACATTTGTAAAAGTGATAGTAGATATAAAAAATATATGAAGTGCAACAAAATAATAAGTTATGTATTAAGAAATATATATATATATATATATATAGTAGTAAATATATTGTCCAAAAGGGAGATAAAATGTGAAATAGGCCTAACTATATCTACCAACTTACATTTTCATTTTTTATAAGTTCTAAAATTATGAAATATTGTCTTCAAGGTATTGATTTTTAATACATGACTTATTATACTTCGAAGCCCCCTAAACGTGATGTTTCCATTTCAAAAGTTTCCACCCTTTAAAACTAAAAATCTGCGATTTTTGAGCAAAAAATTGCATCTTTAATTTCAAAATCTGCACTTTCGTGCTCAAGTTTGGCACATTTTGAGCTAAAACTTGGCACTCTTTTGGGCTAAAAGATGGTGTACTTTTGGTGCTCAAAACATTGCACTCTTTAAGCATAAAACACTGCATTTTTCGAAGTTAAAATTTGCACTTTTTACACTAAAATCTTCTTGGCAGAGCAAGTTAATAGAAGGAACCCAAACGATTTATATATATATATATATATATATATATATATATGAAAACTTATTTTAATAATAACATACATATATTTCATTTTAATATATGAATCCCTCCTTTTCTATTTATATGAACTTATTTTTTTATTTTATTTCAAAACGAAAATAACTCCTGAATTTTAATTTTTTTATATAGCATATTTAAGATCACAAAAATTAAAAAGTATTTCAATGCACAAAATTTAAATATACATATAAATTTTAATTTTAATATTAATTTTGATTGATTCTACCTAATTGTATACTTGATATTTAATAAGAGCTAAGCTTAATCATTATTTTATTTACTTTCATTTAATAAATAGACATCACAATAACTCATAAAAAATGAAGAAATAACAAAAATGAGGTAATATTAATAATAATAATAACTAAAGATGATTCTAGAACTATTTAGTTTACTTGTAATCATTCGTGGTAGATGAAATTATATTTTTACCTTTGGTCATCATTCGATTCAATTCATATATATAGAAAGATGTTTCTAGAATATTCTTGTTAGAATGAAATACATTTTTGTTCTTAGTCGTCTATAATACAAATATATCATCCTATTCATTTTTATTTAGGGATAATGCCCAAGTACCCCCTCAACCTATGTCTGAAATCTCAGAGACACACTTATACTATACTAAGGTCCTATTACCTCCCTGAATTTATTTTATTAATAATTTTTTACCCCTTTTTAGCTTACGTGGCACTATCTTGTGGACCCAATGATGATTGACTTTTTTTTTCGAACTAGTGCCACATAGGCTAAAAAGAGGTAGAAAATTACATATAAAATATGTTCAGGGAGGTAATAGGACCTTATTATAGTATAAGTGTATCTCTGGGATTTCGGGCATAGGTTGAGGGGGTACTTGGATATTCTACCTTTTTATTTATAAAGCTACTTTTTAACATCTTTTTCGTTAATTTCAAATTAATATATATTATTAATTTTATCACACTTATTTATTTTCAAATATATCAATTAGAGCCAAAATAAAGATGAAAAAAATTAACTCGTGATAAATTTTTATATAAAAACTAGGCATTTTTTATAAGCGTAATGAATAGAAAAAGATATTAAGAATAAAATTAAAATAATAATGAAACAAAGTAATAATAAAACAAATATCACAATAACTCACGAAAGAAAACAAAGTGAATTAATATCTGAATAAATTAATTGTAATAACAATAACTTAAGATGTTTCTAGAACTATTTAATTTTTTTGTTATCATTCCTTGGAGATTTTTGTTAGCGTGAAATTACATTTTTGCCATTGATCATTATTCGCTTCATATATATAAATATGTTTCTAGAATTAATTATTATCTTTCTTAATAGATTTTTATTAGTGTAAAATTACATTTTTGCCTTTGGTCGTCCTCTCACTTCACTCTTCTACATATTATATATATATATATATATATATATATATATATATATATATAAAACGCAGAAATCATTGTAAAACTCAAAGGTAAAAATATAGACATGTCCAGCGCAATCGTTGTAAAACTCAAAGGTAAAAATATAGACATGTCCAGCGCAATCGTTGTAAAACTCAAAGGTAAAAATATAGACATGTCCAGCGCAATCGTTGTAAAACTCAAAGGTAAAAATATAGACATGTCCAGCGCCTTTAAGCTGACTCTAACTCGACTTTATATTGACAACATAAGAATCTGCAAGTTTCCATATTTTATAGACATCCAACTAAGGCAAAATAAGAAGAAGATAAACTTAGGACAAGCTTAAGCTCAAAATTAATCTCATGTATTTCACAACAAGATGAGACAACACCAATGTGCGATTTGAAGTCTGCCAACTTTCAGCAAATAGTAGTGCACTTTAGTAAATAGAAAGGACATTTGTATTCATAGAGATTTGTTCATGTTCTATTGTATGTCCTGATATCATGAGAAGAGCGATAACAACTAATATCAATTGGAAACACACCAAATAGACAAAGAAGAACTACAAGTCTTTGTCTACTTTACACATTTTCTTGAGCAAAACTAAGCATTTTCCGTCTTCATAACTAACTTTAGAAAAACACCAATCCTAGACAAAACAGAGGCATAGAATGGAACAACCGATAACAAAGGAACATGCTAATATTTTGAAAATTCAAATTCAGGGGAAATATTTACCGTTTCCAAGACATGGTTGATTCAAGGAGAAAGTTTTTAAAATTCAAATATTTATCAGGCCATGTCAAAGTGTTCAACATACAGATGTCTGGGCAGCGAACACATTCCAAACTATTTAACTTAGAAGACTTTTAGTTAAAGGATGACCAACCAACTGAAGCTAATACCTTGGCGTATTAGGACGACTTTAATGGTCTTAATCGTATGTATTTAGACAATTTTAACGAGGCATGTTCATGTCATATCTATAATGTGATATATCTATGATTCGCATAATTACTTGAATAGAAGCTTTATACACTTGATCATACAAAGTGAATACTACATTCGTCGTAATATATTTCAAAGAAATCACATGATAGATTTACGAGGAGATCATTTTGGGACAGAATCTGGATCTAAAAAATGCAAACTAAATGCTCCCTTAAAAGAAAACTCTTCATTTTTCAACAAACAATCAATAATGGGTATAACTTCTTAAGAAAATTTTGTATTCAATTATTCACTATAACAAAACCATAGCGATTATCACATTCCATGCTTAATATTTTTATCATGAGAGTAGAAATGAGACAGGGGAGAGGGAGACACACATAATCTGGAAATAAGGCAGCTTGTTTAATACAAACATACATTTGAAACACGCGACAAGAATATACAAATAATTGCACTTGCATTTACAACACTAAACAAAACGAAAGAAAATGCAAGCACGAGTAATAGCGGATCCCAAACTTGAACAGAGATAATATTAAAAAAATTGTATGAACCAAATACTGACCTTGTATGGAACAGCAAACTAGAGCCTTGGCGTCAAGATTCTAACTTTCAACTCGATGTTAACTCAAAGAAGAATAAAAATAGAGAATAATAACCTTACAACCTATTCCACAGATGATTTTCAGATCCTTCACTTTTTTTTTGAATCGTTCTCCCCAAATGATCTTAAAAGAGAACCAAAGGTCCAATTTTATAGTTGAATTAGGGGGGAGGTTTCTAATCTTGCAACCAACGGATCAAGGCTGTAACCAATCAAAATTCGAAGGTTCTTCAAGTCCCCCACTTTCAGGTGGAGCAATAATGATTGTCGGGACTTCTAGGCCTGCTTTGGGTCATAAATAAATCAGAAAAGATGTAAGTTGATAGATAGGAAGGCTATGATTGATGGACGGTGGGGGAGATAGTGTTGGAGACCTTTGGATATTGTTGTTTTCTGGCGGTCCATGGGGAAACGGTGATACATTGATGTGAGAGGACGAAGGGGCATGGGGCAGATGCTTAGGGAAGGAGGAGAAAGACAAGAAGATGGCAGGAGACGGGAGTTGAAGAGATGACCACTGAAAATTGCCATTTTCTTGATGGGGGAGGAGAAGGATTTGAGTAGGAGAGTTCCGGGGAAAGGAACGCGTTTTCTTTCTTCTCATAGACTCTAGGAAAAAGAAGAGTAAAAGCAAGCGTTATTTTTTGGGAAAAGAAAGAAAATATAATGCGAAAAAGTCTTATTTGATTTTGGTCGTCTCATCGTTTGATCGAACTGTTAATATATATATATATATATATATATATATTAAATAATTGTAAATTTTAATTAACTAGGATTGTTAGATTTAATTTTAGAGGCGAGATTTAATCTAAAGAATCGCAATCCATGTGCTAGCCTACGTGGCATACACAAATTAGCGTGTTAGAGACATGAATTTCCAAAATTGCTCAAATTGAAATCATTTAAATTATAACCTCTTCTTTATTACATAATCATAATTAAATTAAAAATAAATATTTTTCAAGATTGACTGATTTGATAAAATTAGTTAAGACAGATGTGTTACAATAGGTAGCAGTGTTCATGATCCGGTTTGTAGTAGGAATGTGTAAAAATCGGTTCAAACCATTAACCCAAATCATTTTCAATTTATTGGGATAACGGTTCGGGTTATTGGGTAATTGGTTTGGGGCTCAGTTCAGGAATCTATTTTATTGGGTAATCGGTTCGGGGGTTGGGTTGGGAAGCCAGAGTTTCGGGCTACCTGATACCCCGATAAGACCCGCTATTAATATTTTTATTCCTAAATTTTCTAATTTTACAATTCTCACTTCTCACATAAGGGACTTAGGGTTTAAAAATTTTTGTACTTAGGCAAGTTCAAAGTCAATTACCGCTCCTCTGACCACCAAATTCCAAACTCCAAATCGATATTTTCTCCAAATTCCAAACTCAGGTGAGGCAACGAGTCGATGACTACTCCAGTCTCTAGTCACTCAGGCAAGGACACAAGGTAAAGACTAACAATGACACCTCAAGCCAACAATTTTTTAATTCGTTCCATTTAACATGTATGTCTATTTTCATGATTCAAAGTTCAAACGAAGAACATAATGTTGGTTTGTTAGTCGAACTTCATAAATTACTCTGAAGATGAGCAGATTGATGCGTAAAACCTACAACGTACTTTTTTTGTATCTTTTGAGTTCTCATAGTGTCTCTTTTCTATGTCATACTAGTTTGTTGTCTAATGTCAAATTGAGATATGAATTCAGTGCATTTTTAGTCTAATGTATGATCTTAGTGATGATTTAGTTCATTTGTATCACAGTAGCACCTTGTTCTGCATTGGTGGTAAGATTTCCTCCTTTAAATGTCATTTGTTCATTTGTTGGTTGTATAATAAATGAACAAGCTCAAATTTTAGAAGTCTGCTCAAGACTTTGAGTCTTACTCCTGTCAGTTTTCACGACTTCTGTAGTATGCATAGAACTACTCGGTAGTCGGCTCTCCAGTCTTAGATTCTCAGTCGCTCACTACTCATGCCTCACAAGTAAGTTTTTGCACTTTGTACTTTGTATTTCTTCCTTTAAGATCAGCCATTGCCTGCTGGTCCAAAGTATGTGAATAATGGTTTCAAACATTAATGTTTTAGAAATACAAAGAAACAATCAAGGGGAAATTTTGATGGTTGCTGATATAACTTGATCAAAATTTCTAGTGTGGTCTCAAGAATTTTCGGAAGTTGTTCAATGTTGTAGAAATTCACACCTTGGCACTTTGGCTCATTTGTATGTACTTTGTTGTCTTCTAGTTGCTGCTTTGTGTGAACTGTGATGTGTCTATTTTCAAGTGTGTAAAAATTTGATACTACTTAGCCTATTGTTTGTAATTTGTAATTCTTTCTTTAATAAAACTACTTAGTGTTTATATCTTTATGCAGTTTTTGGTGAAAATACCATGGATGAAAATATCATAATTGATAAGGTTATTGGTGAAAGTGGGAATTCTAATTCAAATGCAATAGATCAAAGTCAAACTATTTATTCTAAAGTAAGGAAATGAAGGAAAAAAATATCTCGTGCGTGGGATCATTTTACTCGTAAAATTGATTCTAATGGAAGTGAAAAGGTTGTTTGTAATTATTGTAAGAAAGAGTATTTTGCTAACACAAAAGAACATGGTACGACGTCAATGCTTACTCATATGAACAAATGCACAAATATTCCTTATAATATTGATAATAAACAATTAAGATTAGCATTTCAACCAACGATAGGGGGTAACAATGGTGATGTAGTTGTTGTTCCATGGAAATTTAACTAGGAAGAGTGTAGAAAGGCCTTGTGTCCTATGGTAATTATTGATGAGCTTCCTTTCAGATCTGTTGAAAAAGAAGGTTTTAAACAATTTATGAAATTAGCACAACCTTGTTTCCACATTCCTTTCCGTACCACTATGACTCATGATTGTTTTGATCTTTTTGATGAACAAAAATGTAAGTCGATGGATTTTTTAAGGAAACACAAAAACGGGTGTCTTTAACCACTAATACTTGGACTTTCATACAAAGAATCAATTATATGGTCATTACTGCTCATTAAATTGATAAAAATTGGACTTTGCATAAAAGAATTATCAACTTTTGTCCAATCACTAGTCATAGAGGTGAAAATTTTGGAAAGCCTATTAGTAAGTGCTTACATCAGTAGGGATTTCATCAAATTTTAACTGTTACAGTTGATAATTCTGGTTCAAATAGTGTGGCAATAACTGAGTTGTCTAAGTAATTAACTAAATGTGGGACCAACTTAATGGGTGATAGTCACCTTCATATAAGGTGTATGACTCATATTGTAAATCTTATTGTTCAAAATGGTACAAAAGAAACAAATGTGTATATTGAACGAGTTAGGCAAACAGTAAGATACATCAGGCAATCTCTTGCTAGGTGGAAAAAGTTTCAAGAATGTTGTGAAGATGAAAATCTTGCTAAAAAATCGTTATGCTTGGATGTTCCTACAAGGTGGACTCCACCTACATGATGCTGAGTAGGGTTATTGAATATGAAGGGGCAATTGTAGAGTACACCGATCGTGATATTGGCTTGGTACTATATCTTAAGTTTGTTGATAAAAATTCTACAGGTACACTTTTGAGTAGTGATTGGTAGGGTGTAAAGTCAACGTACGTGGGCGCATACTTGATTCATTTAAGAGTTCATTAACTCCTAGATTGCTATAAGCTTTAGTGCGCCTTCAAGATTGACTTCGGAATGAGCTATAACACATAAGTATTGAGGAAGATTTAGATTTTCTTGAGCAACTTGAAAAGGTAAGAAAAGAACCTCACTGATGTAAATTTGTGAATTGTTTAGTTAATACTTTTATTGGTTAAGCCTTGAGTCTTTACTTGTAATTGTATTTCTATTTAGATTTTGCAAAACTTGGAAAAGAACTTTGCATTGATGACATGTAAAATTGGAGGAAAGAAGGTATATACATGTATTATCTTGTCTTTATATCTGATTTATAATTGATCTAATATTCTCTGTTTCTTTGTTAATCAGATTGCATCATGCCTCGACTTCATGGTTCTAATGCTCGATCACATGTTTAGAATCACTATGAAAAACTTAAAGAAAATGAAGATGGATTGTGGACAGTAAAATGCATTCATTGTGACTGTGATTATTACCATTCATGCAATACTGGGACAACCTCCTTAAGAAGGCATGTTAAGCGTTGTTCGAAAAACAGGAGCCAGAATCGTCAACTCTCAAGGATTAATGACTAGTTATTATTTTGTTTACTTGAACATGAACTATTAAAACTATGTTTAGACTTAATTTTCAGGTTGTGTGACTTTTTTCTGCTATTTTGAATTTGTTTGTCTGTGTGGGTAGTGGCGGACTGGAGCTGTGTTGAATTTTACTTCTGCAATGTTGCAACTTTCATGCTTGTAGCTTGTACTGCTGTTGTTTTATTATATTATTTTATTATGAGTAGAGCTGTCAATATGGGCTAGCCACCCATCCGGGCTAACCTATACAGGCTTTGACATTTTACGGGTCAGGCCGGGTTAGCCCATTTTTGGCGTGGGCCAGAAAATGATCGGCCCAACCGACAAGTATGTGGGCTACAGGCTTGACGGGCCAACCCACTTTTTTAAAAAAATTATATATTTTTATAGTTATTAAATTAAATTTTAAATTATAATTTAAAATATTATCATAAATATCTGCAAAACAATATTACATGATGTTAATGTTAGTACTTGTTAATCAAATCAAAATAAAATTATTTTTATAATATTTATTAGGGATAATTTCATAGACCTCCATGTTTCGCTCTATAACACTCACCTCCCCTTTGGCTTACGATATTACGTCTACCTTCCTTATTTTCATTTGCTTGTAACCATTCTTTAAACCTATTTAAAATAAATATAAATTAATATAGATTTGACAATTTTACTCTTTTATATATAAATTTCTTCTTATTAATAAATATTATATAAAAAATAACTCATTTAACAAATACTTTAAAAATAAATTAACACAAAGACTTATTTTTTAAAACCAACAAAGATCAAAGTCTTCAACTAAGCTAACCCACATTTTCACCAACAAATATTAACTCTTTATCTCTATTTCTCCTTTACCAATTCAAGTAAATTCCCCCCCCCCCCTCAATAACCAATCATTTTACGGCAACAATTTCTTCAAATAGCAGATAAAATTGAACTTCCCAAGAAAGAAATTCGATAAGCACGATAAGATTTTGTTCTAGTTAAATATTTACACAAGCGAAGAAGAAACATGATCCAACGAATAAAGATAAATCATTTAAAGTTAGATTTAAACATTCTTATATAAGGGTAAATTTGTCAAATCTAAATTAATTTATATTTATTTAAATAGATTTAAAGAATGGTTACAAGAAAATAAAAATAAGGGAGGTAGACGTGATATCGTAAACTACAGGGAAGTGAGTGTTATAGAGCGAAGCTTGGAGGGAGGTCTCTGAAATTATCTCTATTTATTAAGTTTTTTTCAAGTAAAAGTATAAATACATAAATAAAAATTATTAACCTAATTATTTTGAATTTAGACTCTCTTTAATTTTAAATTTTATTATTATATTATATTATATTTTTGATGAATTCTTATTGGCCCACGAGTCGACCCTACCTATATTTCTCAAGCCCATCAAATCAACAGTTTATTCATGTCG